TAAATTATTTTTTATTTAAAAATAATTGACATAATTTGTTATTAATGTGAAATGTAATTATCAAGTAATAGATTTTTTCCATCTAATAATGAACATATCAATTATTTTTTAAGAAAGGAATAATTTAGAGTCAAATTTAAAAATTTTAAGAACTAAATTATAAATTTTTTAGATTAAGAACCAATTTCATAATTCATACAATGGTTGAGAGATCAAATTGAAAGTTTAACTCTTTTTTTTTTTTCATTTCATTTGAAATTGAATCTCTCTATTATTTTGGTATGTTTCAAAAAAATTTCAAAAGTAAAAGGGTAGAAAAGTAATTGTCTTAATCATCTTCCCTGTTTGTCTAACACACAAAAATAACAACGGTGGTTAACAAACACCGCCTAACGCACCTATACTCCTAATGGAATATGCTAGATTTGTGTTTCCCCTCTAGTTCGACGGTTAAATCTGCAACAACAAGAGAGAAAATATAGACACAGTTGATCCCTGTTCCGGTACCCATCTCCCTTTGAAGCCACTCTTCTAATTCCCATTTCCTCAAATTTATATAACTCATTTCTTTAGAACTACTTAAAAGATCAGAACTTTATCAGCTAAGGTGAGAGGGAAGAACTCTAGAGAGAAAGAATGGCGAGTAGAGATCTGGAGAGAGAGGGAGGTGCAAAGAACAGGGGGAATGGCTACCACCCATCTTCTTCTGCTTCATACTATGTGGATTCTAGTGAAAAGCAATGGACTTCATGGCTTGTGCCTATGTTTGTGGTGGCTAATGTTGCTATGTTCATTGCGGTGATGTATGTCAACAATTGTCCCAAGAATAATCTGGGTTTTGAAGGAGACTGTGTGGCTAAGTTCCTTGGAAGGCTTTCTTTTGAGCCCTTGAAGGAGAATCCTCTTTTTGGCCCCTCTTCTTCTACGTAAGTTTGCTCATCTCCAGACTGCTTTTTTTTGGGTATTTCGCTTGTCTAGATCTGTCTTCATCCAAAACGTTCCTTCTCTTGGATTGTTGTTAATATTGTGCTTTAGTTTGGCTTCTGGGTATCGGAAATTTTGTCCTTTTATTGGATTACTGACTATAAGCTGGAGATTGTGTGTTTGCTATATTTTTGGTATCTATAGACATGACACATGTTAGCAATTGGGAGATTGGATTGTGCTGGAGGCTCCCTCTGATTTTCAGTTGAAGAGGGGCTTCAATTCAATTTCAAATCTAAGTCTAGAGAGTTAAGTTCTACTGTCAGAACGTAGTGATTGTAAAAATACTTTCAATGGTTTGTTGGGAAAAGTTTTCCTTTTATCTTAGCTATGACATGTGCCTAACAGGCTTCTCAAAATTTTGGACCTCTTTTTTATTGTTTTCATGTTGTATTGTAAGGAATTGTTCTTACAATTGAGTTTCTTGAATCTGGACTAATAAAATACTATAGATTAGGTGATGCTTATGATTTATCAATTTTATGGTTTGTTTGGGTTCTAATTAGGGGATAGGAATGTTTAATTGGGAGAACAAGAAAGACTCTTACCATTTTTTACCATGCCTATGTTCTATGGTTGAAAACTAGAAACAGTTTAAGTTGAAAGGATAATATTGCTAATTTTCTCAACCTTACTAGGTTGTAAATTTTGATCCATGTTCATATTTTAGCTTCTATTCACCCTCTACTGTGCAAAGTTCCTTGTATATACTGCCTTCATATAAGGTAGCCTAAGCTCAGTTCTCACAGAAAGCAAAATGAAACTGTTTTCCAACCATCTACCATTTCTTTTAATGTGATTGTAGTTTAGTTGGACAGTTTTCCTGCTCATACTTGAGGTGCTTCTAGACTTGATTAGGCATTTGTTCTTTTCTTTGATATTTCATTAGAAATTATTGGTAGTTGTCTTACTTTTATAACTTTACAGTACTTGTTTTATTTCATTCTTGCTTCTTCAGATTGGAGAAATTGGGAGCACTAGAGTGGACAAAGGTGGTGCATGGACATCAAGGATGGAGACTCATTTCTTGCATCTGGTTGCATGCGGGTGTTATTCATCTGCTTGCAAATATGTTGAGCTTGGTTTTTATTGGGATTCGTCTTGAGCAGCAATTTGGATTTGGTATGTTTTTTTTTTTCTCTATTGTTGGAGACGTAATTTGTACCTCCAATGAAATAACTAATATTTTATGAATATCTGATGCTTCTGCCTCTTATGAGTAGTTGATTGTTAATTTGTTTTCTTTGCAGTGCGAATTGGGGTGATATACCTGTTATCAGGACTTGGTGGAAGCATACTATCCTCTCTTTTCATTCAGAGTAATATTTCAGTTGGAGCTTCTGGTGCTTTGTTTGGACTTCTTGGCGCAATGTTGTCAGAGCTTCTTACTAACTGGACTATCTATACAAACAAGGTTGGTTGCTTACACTTCTTTTTTTATCCGGTGGAAAACAAATTTCCCCATGGTTGCATTCGGAACTAGTAATAACCTTGCTCTGTACTAATTAGTAAGCCATTCACCCAGACTTGGAGGTGAAGCCTATAACCTGAAATTGTGAGCCCAGCTTCTGAGAATTCATACAGCCCAAGCCCCAAAGGGCAACCTTACTTTGTGGAGTAAATGATAAATTGATAATTATTAATAAGCCTAAACATACAAATTAAGAAAAGAAATGCTTTGACCCTGTGAATTGTGAATAATCAGTGACTCAGTAAGGTTTAATCTGCATTTGTAGGCAGCAGCTCTTATCACACTTGTGGTCATCATTGCCATCAACTTAGCAGTAGGGATCCTTCCCCATGTCGACAACTTTGCACATATTGGAGGTTTCTTGACCGGCTTTCTCCTTGGATTTGTTTTGCTACTTCGTCCCCAATTTGGATGGGTGGAACGCCATCACCTACCTCCTGATGCCCGTGCAAAATCTAAGCACAAGGCTTACCAATATGTTTTCTGGGTGGTTTCTGTGGTCTTACTAATTGTTGGGTAAGTTTAGTTCAAAATGCCAACTCTTAATTTCACCATTGATTTTCTGGTTGTAGTCAATTGAGTTGTAGATTAGCAACACAGTCTGTTGAAAAACTAACTTCATCCTCATGTGTTGTTGGAAATTGCAGTTTTACACTGGGACTGGTAATGCTGTTTAAAGGAGAGAATGGAAACGACCACTGCAACTGGTGCCATTACCTGAGCTGCGTACCTACCAAGCGCTGGAAGTGTGGGAATTGATGGGGAGCGCACCATGTCTACCTCTAGACCTTCCCTAAATCTTTGCTTGCACACAAATTCTTTCCTTCTTTACATTTCTTTCCTTATATTTAGTTAATTGGTTTATTTCTTTTTATTTTACCTATGCAAGTATGTATAGTTTCTGACCATCGAGATTCTCACTTTGGTGTTTGAACATCAAGAATTCAATGTTATTTCATACATGGTTCATTTGAAGTCGATGAGTTGTTGTTTTCTCCTGTTATCTAACGGTTTCTTTTTTTACTTTTTCTTTTTTCCCTTTAAATGAGGTGTTGAAGAAAAAAAATCTCATATGGAATATATAACAAATATAACAAAGATATTAATAAAGATGTATCATGTATGTGATTTAAATATAAATAAAATAACTTTGTTTATTATTAATTGATTTTGAGTTAAATATAAGTCTTATATTAAATTTTACCTGCACAATTTGATTTTACATACATTTATTGTTTTATCACTTCTTGTCTTTAACCAGCCCAACCAGACTTAAAACTAGTGTTACTTTTTTCTTTTTCTTTTTCTTCTTTTTTTGTTTTTTTGAACCAGCAACTTTGGGGGAACTTATTTTAGTCCCTCACTTTACCAAATTTAAAGGTTTTAGCTCATTTTATTAAATTTATTGGTTTTAGTCCTTCATTTATTAAAATTGAAAAAAATAACTCTCATTTTATATTGACTATTAACTCTGTTAAGTAAAAGTAAATTTTTATCAACTAACAATTAACTAATAATCAATTAATAAAATGAATAAAATATTACAAATTTAATTATATTAACTCTATTAGTTAAAAAAAAGTTTTTGTTAGTTAACAACTAACTAACAGAACTAATAAAATGTTACAAAATTAATGTTATTTTTTTCAATTTTAATAAATGAGAGGTTAAAAATATCATAATATAAAATAATAAATTAAAATCTACAAATCTAATAAAATAAGAAATAAAAGTATTATAATATAAAATAAAAAATAAAAAATTAATCCAGCCCAAAGTGTACTTTGTCCAATCGGCCTGTAAGACCAGGCGCAAAACTAAAGTTACCTAAACTCAGTTCTTTCGTTCTTCGTTACGTGTGAATACCATGCACTGTATCAAATGCATATTAACATGTAGTAGTATAGTACTGGTACAGTGGTACTACTCCACGTTCCTTGACTTTTCAGAGGGTCAAAGAAACACGCCCGTGGGTAATTTACGCCTCTTAAATAATCCAGTCCGATTTGCGATTTCATCGGCCATGGACAATCCGTGAAATGCAGGTGGGAATCCGACCAGCCCACCTGCATGGACAAAAACCAAACCACACACGTTCCGAAGGTAAGATGTACTACCAGTCAGTTTGGCCCCATACGGGGTTGTATATCCGTACCCTCATTGGCACTGGTCAGCCTTGTACAACCACTGACACAATCCAGCTTACAGAATCTTCTGATCTGTATCCAAGCAAGTGGGGGCATCCATGGTCAATAAATTCTACTTCACAGTACAAGGAAGAAAGATGGCACACTACATGTCCTAGGCGGCCAGGCCTTAACATCACAAATACGCGTTCAGAGAAATGATAGAACTTGGAACTTGGAGTTGAAATATGGGTCTCCAGGCCCACACCCCAAAGATGAGTGAGTTTGGTAAGGGAACAGTATTTCAGCACCTAATATTTGGAATTCACAATTGCTAAAAGATAAATACATACTAATTAGAGTCATAACATTCCTTAGATTCATCTTGAAACTTAAATGAATAAACAGCTTCATATTCCTAGAGTACAGGGCAAAATATGTAAATCTAAGTACTTGAGTTAGCATGTCTCCTACCCTCTTAAACTAAGCTTTAATACCTTTGCCCAATGGGCATTCCAAGTTTGTCCAGCCGGCCTGATCCTGGGTAAGCCTTGCTTACAAAGTTTGCATGCAAAGAAGATCTCTGTGTATTTAATCTTGGTTCAGCAAACCCGAAAACGGAATGCCTCCTTGTTGAACTAGATCTCTCATATTGTGGCCTTTGTTTTGGAGCACTAAGAGACCTCACCTTGGCCTTTGAAGATTCAGTGTAGGCCATGTAATTTGGATGGTCTGAGTATCCACTTAGGTAGCTTTTCGAGCCATCACTCTTGGTGGGAGTGAAGGGACTTCTCCTGGAACTACCACCACCTCTTGATGATGCAGAGTAGAATTGTGGGCTATTCTCAGCGGTTGTGAAAGAACTTTCCTCAACCTCATGAGAAAGCTTCAGTGGAGTTAAAGACTGAACTTCACCAGATGATGGACTAGGAGCCGTTTGATTAGACTCTTTTGAATGCGTGAAACTGTAACTATATTGGTCTGAAGTGTAAGCAAGATGAGTGGAGTGAAACAGGTTTCTGCGTTTAGATCTGAAGTGGGGTTTCCCAGTATCAACCTCAAGGATCTTGTCATTCTTTTCATCATCTGTAGTGCCAATTCTTGTTGATCGTATTCGATCCCATGATTGTTCATATATCCGATGGTCTGACCGATGCTGATATACATGCACTTTCTCACTATCAACAATCTTGCCATTTGATTTTGATCCATTTCTCTGCATTTATTAAAATCAATTAATTAGCCATTAACTCTGGAAATATACTTGGGAAGGGAGAGATGAGGAACAGGATGGTGCAAAACAGGGGCGAAGACCAAACCTTTAATATTGATTTTTGTTCATACTTTGCACTCTTAGATCGAATAGCATGTTCGACTTTTTCAGGGGTTGGTGGACCCTGCACATTGATGAGACGAAATTTATGGTTACCAGTAATTAAAGAACACAAGCAGAGCAAGTGCTGAGACGATCACATTCACACGGAAAAAAGCCATCACACAAATATAACTGATTCTCCTCAATTGAAGACAAAAACAAGAAGAGTTATGAAACAAGAGTTATATATTGGATTTCACGAGCAATTTCCTAGTTTATACCACCTAATGATACAAGTGGATGATACACATTATTTTCTAAACTATTCTTTGAAAAACTAATCAGATGTGTCTTGTTTTTAATTGATGTACCCTACTAAAGGAAGTGCAAGAACTTCCTATATCCAGCCCATACTATTAATTCGCTTTAATGCTCTCAATAAATTTGTTCTGAATTTCAATTTACCATGCCATATGTGACACATTGATGCATCACAACTACACCTACAATATCTACCACATAGGCCTTTAAAAACGATGAATTAATACACATTAAAAGTTGGATGAACAAAATCTTGCGGAATCAAAAGTGGCCCTAATCTACGGACCGTAGAATGAACCCCCCTCCCCCCCCCGTCCCCACAAAAAACCCAGGGTCCATGTAGCATAACCAAAACAAGGGGAATTGTAAGTTTAAAATATTGGAGGGAAAAACAGGTCTCACTTACAGGATTATGGAAATGAGATGTTTTGCTGCTTGATCGTGAAGATTCAGAAATTTGAATACGCCCTGCACGTGCACGTACTTGTGCTCGCAACAAAGCCTGCATCCTCCGCAGCCATTCTGCAGTACGTTTCCTCTCAATATGACCTCTAACCAGAGCCTGAAGCCTGACCAATCCTTTTAATGCTCGCAGTGCCCTTCTTGCCTTCAGATTATATATAGGACAAAAAATATGATTACGCAGACAAGAACCATTAAGCTATCAAACACATTCAACATCATTGAGTGATTGCACGACATTAATATTAGACCACAAACGAATAAAATTCACCAATCATTCACTAAAGGAAGATTCTTTTGATCTCTCTTCAAGATAATTTTACTTAATGACATTTTAAAATTGAATTTCTTAAACCCAACAACAGGACACCAAAGCAGCAGCAGCAGCAGCAGCAGAAATAAAGAACCATCTGCTTCTGAATAAAGGTAATCACCTAGATCCATCCAGCAAGACTCAAAAAACAAGGCAACTGGACCACTCTACACCAGTTATGTAACTACTTTAATATGGAAGGAAGGTTTAAAAACTGGCGCCAGCAAAAATATTGCAGTGAAAATTTTCAAACGTGGCAGGCGCCATGAAGATGATATTTCTCTGTCTAACCTAGTCTCTGATATGAGAATCTGACATAACACGAAGGTGAAAAGGACTCCTCAATCCTCCCATCTGAAACTGTTATATATCCATGAACCTCCAATCCAGGGAAATTGTCTAATAATCATATGTATATATCCCACTACATTTAAGTACCCAACTAACCCAACTTTATATGCGCAGAGTCATACAAATGCACTTAAGGAAAAACACACACTCAACAAACCTTTTGCTGGGTTGGACCCACGCCGACAGAAGTAGACTTGTAATACCCAAAAAAGTCAAGAAGGTAGACTTGGACTCGGGTCACCCATTCCTCAAACAGTGTCATATGATTCAATCTTCCTTCTTAAACAGTTGATGATTTTAACTTTTAACAGGTTTTACTCACTACATTACTCCCATAATACCATTGACCCTGAAAAAGTATCTGGGTCCATTTCTTGGACTTCACCCACCGTCCAATCGAAAAACGATAGATTAAGTATACAATGATAGCATAATTGATGGAAGTGAGGGCAAAAATTAAAAATCTGTTAATTATTATTAGTAGGTAGGAAGGTTGGAATTTTCTGCATGAAAACGACATCAAGCTACATATATAATCACGTAATAACAAACCAACTAAACCATGTAATTAAAACAGAAAAATAGGCAAATTAAACACCTAATCAATACCCAAATAAATTAATTAACCCCACAATTGGAATCAAATTAAAGGACCCAAGCAGCTACAAGTACAGCGTACAGAAACAGAATTCCGCCCATTAAATGCTTGGAAAATGTCATGACAAAGGAAACAGAAAGGAAGGCTAACAGGGGAAGGAGAAAGAAGATTCTTAGAAGGAACACATAGCCTACACGTGACAGGACTTTCCAGGGAGGGTGCGCATTGTGCACACCAGCAACAGGGTCCTCTGTGAAGTGTTTGGAATTTACTTTGGTTTTGGAGATAAACGACACAACAGAACAACTCAGATGTACATACTAGAAATGGAAACTGGGAACGTTGCTTCTACTAGGAAGCAAGCACAAAACGACATCGTTTATGCACTAACCGGAATCTCCCAGGAACTTAATGCAGTAAAAGGAAATAATCGGTACACCGCCTTTTTTTTTTTCCGGGCATTTACGTCGGAAACCGGAATCAGAATCGGAGAATGTCGGACACGTGTCGACGTTGGCACGGGTTGTTAATCCCGTGAACTTTCTTGCCGAAATCAATGGTGGAATTTTAAAATAAAAGAAAATTTGCGGAATTAAAAGAGGAAGAAGAAAGACTAACCAGATATCCACGGAACGCCGATTGGATCTTAACTGCAGCCAACTCTTCTCGGACCCCACAGTTGGTGCTGAAGTGCGACGTCGGGTCACGTGGGCACCTGCCACTGCTACTCGTGAGCCTAACAACGGCAGCCGCTGCCTGTGCTGCCGCCACAGCAGCTTCCGCAACTGCCGCAGTTGCTGCGGCCACGGCAATCGCGTGCTTGGTCGGATCCACATCGCGGTCCGATTCAGTAACGGATTCCTGGTTCATCATCTGCCGCCCATATGACGTGGGTTTTGAGTTGTGTTTGGCTGCCGCCG